CATGAACTGAAAGCTCATTTTTATCACTGACATACCTTAGCTCATCAGGAATACCATTTTCTGGTAAACTTTGGATGACATCTCTATCAATTTCAATATTTTTAAAGAACGGATTGTTTGTCTTTAACCATAACACAGCCTCAAGAACTTTGTGTCGACGTACAGTAAAGTCTTGATGTGTGTCTTCTGCACCATGTTTTCGCACAATCAAAACAGGCAAGTTTGCCATACGAGAAGGCAACCTATTCAAGAAACTTTGAATATCTTGAGGCAAGTTAAGTACATGTCCTTTATACCCCCTCTAACCCCCATGTTTCTATACACTCTCATAATGGGGCAAACCCTTGAAATTAACATTTCTTCTACCTGTGTCAAACCTCTCAATTGTTCAGGAACTGTTCCTGGGTCCATGTCATTCTCCGCACTAAATTTCTTGGGTGATTTCTTGTCTCTCTTGCACCGGTAACAAATATATACTTCTGATGCCAAGTTCTGCCGTGTCGGCCAAGCTTCTTTACACATTGTACATTGTCGATGCTCTAAATGTTCTTGATCTAAATGAAAACTGTGCATTTCATTTTGTACAAACTCTAGCTCATGCAGAGGGTTGTCAACATTTTGGCAACCACCCTCGTGTAAATATTCATTTCTACTTACCCCCTCTGGCTCTGCTTCATGAACAGACCCAGTTTTCTCGTCTACTTCAGAAACAGAATGAGATATATCTACACTAACTGTTGGATCTACAGACATACTCAACTGCTCATTTGCTTCATCTCTTTCTTTTCTCTCCTCAGCAAGTCTATCTTTCCGTTCTTGGTCATTTTCACTTGCAATTGATGTGTTGAAAGTTGCTCGCAAAATTTTAAGTATTTTTGCACGCTCATCAACTGTTTTGGATGCTCGGTCTTCTTTTCTCCTTTGTAGCCTATTTGTTCGTTCGTCTTCAGTCATATTTTGCATTTTATCATAATAATACTGTCTATCATACTCTTTTTTCTTCCCTTTAGCTTCTGCAGTCCTTTCTTGCCATGTTTCCCTTCGTTTTGCCAACAGAGTTTCAATATTCTCGGCACTTTCTGTAGCTTCTTTCTGTCGCCTATAATAAATTTTCTGATACTCCTTTTGCTTACCTTTCGCTTCTGCCGTCCTTTTTTGCCACGCTTCTCTTCGTTTTGCCAAACGAGCTTCTCTTTCCTCGGCAGTCTCCTCGAGCATACGCTGTCGCCTTCGCTCCCTTCTTTTCGCTAATCTTTCGGCTTTTTTGTCTTTTAATTGTCGCCCTTCGTTTGGCTCCATACGTCTCAATTGCTATTTGATATTATTCTTTTGTTAAATTGCTTTTAAAGTTGTCAAAAGTTTTTGCAAACATACAAATTACTGTAAATGCAAAAAGAAAATATTTTCATAAAGTGTCGGTTAGTTGAAGTCGTCAGTTCATCTCACAACAACAAATTTTAAATTTGACCAATCAGTGTTCGCTATTCACGACAGTCCGCTATAATTTGAGATCAGTGAGGATGACACCCATGAACGGTGAGCCATGCGCCCGCGATATTTGATGAACTTTAGACTCCGCTAATGCTTTCGTTTCCCCGGGTGTAAATAGCCGGGGGGAATTAGTACCCTCGCACGGCGCTTCGCGCCGCCGGCTCGGGGATAATACATCGGCTGAAATATAACGTATTGAACTGTAATTGAACGAAACGCGATCCAAATGATAATTTAAATTGTTTGCGATCAGATTAACCGTAACTCGTTTACATCTTTCAAAACGTTGGGGCCTAACTCCAAAAACAAAATGTTTGACTTTGCTGGAGTTAACTATTTTCAAGAGGGCTTAACTCGAAGTAAATCTGTGCGGTTCTGATCGAATGCCAAATTGATGAGCGTCCAGTTATGTCTCTTTATTTTGTTCGTTTGTTTTCACCGAATTTTTAATTACCTCTAACAATTCAGGTAATTTATTCGCAATCTCGGGCAGCGTCATGCTAAAACTATCGACTCTCCAACCAAACTATTTGACTTATAGGCTTTGTAGTAGCGCGATTGCGAGTACGGTTGTTAGGGCACAGAAATGAAACAATGAAAATATATATCTGTAACTTCGGTGAAAGCGCAATTTAAATATCTGCCACTGCGCACAACCATGACAATACAGCATAACGCCACAACACAACAATTGTAAACACGACATAAAACAAATGCACTATAATAACATTAAAGCACAGCTTCATGTACTCGCTATAATTTAACACACTAAAGTCTAAAGGAAGATAGAATGAACTGACGATGCGCGGGTTCTTGTCTATTCTGTGTCAAAGCAAATACGGTAAAAAACTGTCGTACCTCTTTCGTCTATCTTTCTTCAGTCTTTAATTCTTCGCCGGTCTGTGTGTGTATCTGCCCGCATCCTCCGCCATGTTACACGACCCATTTTCTCGGTAATATTCTGAATGAATGCGTCACGTGGTCGTACAATTTTCGCACAATGGAATGGTCGTACAATTTTAATATTTAGGAATCCAAGTATAATTATCTTAGATGTAGGAAACTTGTTGTTTGACGTTCAATTGTAAATGTTTGCGAAGCCCTTATAAGGGTGTCAATGAGTTACAAACGTAATATTTTATGCGTTAACATGCACAAGCTTAAGCAAAGTAAGCATGCAGCATAATTACATCGTTTCCACGGAATATGTAATGTTGCAATATCTTTAATTAAACTGGGCGTAATTAACTGTCTGTGTACTATTTAAGACGCTAAAAGAAGCATATTATTATATTTAAAACGTATGCCGACGCCCAAGTTTTTTATATCTCATTAAACAAGAACTGCCAGTGATAAAAATTGATAGTTTTACCGAAGTATTTTAGGAAATAAACGTTGTCTAAGCCGAGAAACAAAAAACTGAAGTAAATCTTCTATTTAACGTATATATGAAATAAAACACACGAATAATTGAGCGGAGTGGTTGTGTCGGTTTAAGGCGTCTGAACAGTAGCTTGAGGTATGCTAATGAGGTTTGTTCTTTATAAAGCTAAGCAACTTCATTCATCTTTAGTAACCCATTGAGCAGCTCACATCGGGACAAATTGCTTCGCTCATCGCATTCATATAGTTTCCGCAGCGAATATTGACCCAAGTGCTTCTCAAATCGTGACGTCAATAATCCGAGTACTCTGTTGAACTCTTCGTCTAGGAAAGGACGGTTCGTATCGTTTTCCTCACCTGTGGCACATGTGTCATGTCATGAGTAAGAAACGTTACCCTCGACAACTTTTACGCTGTCGATACACCCGTTATATCGCAGGAAACGCCGTTCTACGCGTCGGCTGGTCGTGGCGTGCCAACACAAACCGCTATAGCTGTGGACCGTCGCAGCGACCTCAGTTTTTCTCTCAGTAGAGCTAGAATAAGGTTATAATGAACAAAATTCGTCACATCCTTTTTATCTTTACATTATTTTTTAAATTTTACTTTACTTTACTTTACTTTAAGTTGGTCTTACAACGTGTCGGTCCGAAGCCCTTCAGAGTTCGAGGTTTCCTTTCCCAGCCAGGTTACGTCATGTACTGTGTCGCTCCGGGCTAAGCTTCAAACGGGGCAAACTGGCTCGTCGCCGTACCGACCCCGCGGTCTTGGTGCAATCTTACGAATCATAGTCCAGATTCTTATCGCACTCTCGTGGTCCATGGTAGTAAACGTCTGTCTTGTGGTTTCGGCTGCTCGTAGACTCGTGCAGTCAGATATTCAGTCTTATTCTCTCCAACGCCCACGCGTAATAGGGCAAACCGTGTATGCGAATTAATCTTTATAATTTGATCATGCACTGATAGTCGGGTTTATATCTGCACCACACAAACTCACGCACGCGATCACATTGGACCATTACCTCGATTTGGCCGTTCTACTCTCCTTTCCATCATGATGTTTCTGTCATGCCACTGTCGTAGGATGGGCCGATGCTGATATATCCCATCCCTCTCGAAGATCGCGTAAGATTTTTTACATTTTCCACTGGCCCAAGCATTTTGAATCGATACGTTCATGCTCGTGCTTAGTTTCCAAATCCCGCGCGCGATCTCCTGCTGTACGAAACGCAGATGTTGCGTGCATCGGTGTATTTCCGAGGCGACGCACGGCAGAACAATTACGACGCGTTTCGTCCCGACGCTGCAGACCGTGGCCTCTCGAGCTGATCACATACGGGCGCTCAGATTTGTAATGTCCATACCACAATCTAGCCGTGCCCTCGTTTTCGTTTCCTGCGCCAACAGGCAACTTCAGCACCACGTGTTACCAGAGTCACCATCGTTCCCGTTCATGGAACTCTAGTCGCTGCCTTAACCCGCCAATGCAGATATCGGCGCGCCTGTGATCGTCTCGGATGTGGTGTGGTCATCGACGTGTCGAATACATGTCCTTTCTGTTCAGGCCCAATATCATTTCAGCGTGCACCGTAGCAAGGTCGCTAGTAATTAGGCTTGGTAAGCGGCGTATTTGTATTCTACCTACATATCTAGATTTTTTGTGTGTCTCATTCGCTCGCGAGTTGGTATCAACTTGTTGTAGATAACTGTTAAATGAAATAAAATGAATTATTTTCCTGTTTTATTGGTGGTTATTATTTCCTTCTTGCGTATTCCCCCGGTATCATACGCTGGTCACGTCTTGTTTCAGCTCTCCCTGGTGTCTTAGGTCGATTCCAGCGTTGCACCCCCGTCGTCGTTTTTCAAAATTTACAAAATTTGCAAGTATCTCTTCTCACATATTGCCTAATATTATCACAGCAAATCCATATTATATAAAATAACAATTGTAGCTATATCGCACATTAATTTCTGATGTTTTACTATCGTATTTGAAAGAAGCTGTGAACCAAAATGTCATATAAAATTACTGAATAACACAGGTAAATTGTTCAATAAGTTCATAGGGTAAGATATGTTGTGGGATGGGGAATTTTCCATAGTCAATCGGTAAACACATGACGAAAATTAATAGTCTTTCGGCACTTCCAAAAAATTAACACTTCACAAGACCGTACTTTAACAGAACGCGATGTATATTGCTGTCTAATCGATCCCAACAAATATTCCATTGAAAATGCTGTTCTTTAATCGTAGAACCATATGTGGTGGGGAAGGACAAGATTCTATGCGTTAACGACTTAGCAACTTTATTCTCTCTTGATTTAAGGTATCATGCGATTGTCTACCCAATGAAAACACTTTCGGGGAAGAAAATAGCAAAAACCGCTGCTATGGTTACGGTTATTTGGTTGTTCGCTGGCGCAATTTCACTCCCATATGGAATTCACACCATCTCCGTTTCCTATGTAGTACCGACTAAAAGCGGTGATGGAATTGCCTATGAGAAAGCAACGCATCTCAGCAGTTCTATGACAAAAATAGAAGCAAAATCTTACATCATGGGTTATACTATATGCCAATTTATAGTACCGATATCTATCATGATTTTCTGCTATAGCCGCGTTGCCTGGAACTTTGGCATCCTGACACACAGTTAACGCAAGGAAATGGGACCAGTTCAAGTCAGCGTAAGGCAATGAACTTCGTGAAGAAAAGAAACCGAAAGACAACGATCATGTTGTTGGCCGCTGTTCTGGTGTCATTCCTGGTTACCCTCCCTCCTCACGTTTTTGGATCTTTGCTCGCATATAGAGACTTTCATGAATTCGATCTCCACATCGTGCTTCAGGTTAGCTCTGCTCTGTCTGTACTTGCATCCGTCGGCGCTACATGCAATCCGATTATTTATGGCATCTTCAACAAGAAATTTCAAACTGGTTTCCGAAATCTTCTTTCTTTTCCTTGCAATACGCAATAAGCAATGAGGAACTGTACGTCGCAGGCTTTAATAATGCCGTGAAAACTATTTGCGGAGATTCGGAATTGAATATTTATACTATACAGGTAGCAACGCTTTCGACGATTGATTTATTCCCGAGTCGGCGACGTGGAGTGCCGTTCCGGGCATCAGCCTGGCGAGAGGGTACTAATTCCGTATACAGTTATTTACGCACGGCGAAAGAAAAGCACTAGCGAAGTCCAAAGTGGTGTCAAAATTCATGTT